CGGACGAAACTCTACGTTCTCATCTCTCTCACTCTGTCTCGACGTCTCGACCGCCTCGACCAAGGAAGTTATCTACATTCTTCCGCCCTTTCAGTTTTCACCAATACGATCTCCCAGAAACTAGAAACTCCTATATTGTCTTAAGCGAGGAGGTGAAGGCCTCGCAGAATGAGGACGATAGTTTCGCGCTTGATTCAATCACAATCGTTGCTCTCTAGATCAAGGTAGCTCTTTCTCTGGGCCAACTTATTCATTTATCTCTATGTTAGTTTCTAAAGAATTTGTGCTGAAATTTTCGATTTTTTTTTAATATTTCTTTTAAATAATTTTCCTTGATGCGCAGATGTGTCTTTCTCTGGGCCAACTTATTCATTTATCTCTATGCTAGTTTCTAAAGAATTTATGCTGAAATTTTCGAATTTTTTTTAATATTTCTTTTAAAAGATTTTCCTTGATGCGCAGATGTACTATACCAGTTCTGTGTTTGCTCTCATTTTTCTAATTTAGGTCACGTATCCTAGGTATTTGGTGGAGCTCTAGTATTTTGATAGTTGAGTTCGAATTGGGAATGCTGCTTTGAATGAGATCCTTAACCTGCTTAGACTGCTACGAGTCATGGTTCAATGTTGAATTTCAGTCTTTTATTTCGGATCGTCATATTTGTTGATGTAGTTCTTAAATTCTTTCTCTCATTTGGAATAAACTGAGATGTACATATTTATCATTCAGTTGCATTATATGGAAATATGAGATTTTGATGCACAATTAGAATCATAGGATGAGGCACCTAAAAACAAATTTTTTTATTTGATTTGAAGATTCACTGCCTCAATTACATGTAGTATCACCTCGAATTATAATAATGCTGTAGACGTTGTGATAAAATAATCACAAGGGAATATTAAATTGGACATAAAGAACATCCATATGTGGTTCATAATTGAGAGGAACAAACTCATCAAATTCATTACTTAAGAAATTACTGGAATTAGAGTTTTATATATCTCTCACAACTTTTATTAAGGTAGTTATGTTCCTTCTATATTGCTATAAATAAACAATTTTTAGCTATTGATTTTTATTAGCCATATCATTCTCTCTATGATTAATGTATTGACTTTTTGTTGATGAACTTTGCTTCTATACAAATTTTTTATTGGATATTTTTTTCTTTTAATATTACATTTATGCTAAGTGCAGAATGTTTATATGAATTTTAATATAGTAGTACTGAAATAAACTTGCAACCATTGGAACTACCACTTCTACTATCTGCTAGTTTTTTTCTTTTACTACTTGTTTTCCCTCATTTTATTTTTAATTTTGTTGATAGCCTACTTGATAATTCATTTGGAAAAAAAATTGGGATAGGACAACCTACATAATATTTTTCGAGATCGATTTCATAGTGTTTGGCTTAGCTTTATGATGACTAAAATACATGACTAACAATAAAAAATTTTTCTATACTCTCAAAGCTAATCCAAAGGCTATAAAATTTTTCTCGACCAAAATTGTTTCATGATATCCCATCAAACTTTTTTTTCTAGTTTTTATTTATTTATTTCCACTTTGGTCCTTGTGTTTAGTCCCTTGGTCTAACTACTCATGTCATATGCATTTTAGAATGTTTTGGGGCAGAAGAATATGATATGACCCTAATGTTAGCCAATTCCTGTATGTAACTTATAGTTCACCAAGTTTATTATTGAGAAATGCGAGGCTGCTGTCTACGGACTCAAATAAAGTTAATGAAACAATTAAAGTTGAGGAAGCAGAAACAGTAAAACCAGACCCACCTGGACCAGAAAAGGTATTGGCACCTTTTTTAGATGCATTATAATTACCATTTCAAATGGGAATTTTCTATCCTTATCTGATTGTTCACAACTGGGGAGTTGGTGGGTTGATGGTTTTCTGGTTGGGGCTTTGTTGCAGGTTCTTGTTTTGGGTGGAAATGGATTTGTTGGCTCTCACATTTGCAAAGAAGCTGTTCAGCAAGGCTTCTCTGTTTCAAGTTTCAGCAGGTATTCAGCCCTCTTTAGAGTTTTCATATTTTTCTTCCGTTCTGAAATGAATTGCTTACTTAGTTTTGATGCCTGCGATCAAATTTGGGAAGTAAAGGTATCTATCTCTCTGTTGACCATTTTTATTTAGTCTGGTAGGAATTTGGCTTTCTTACAATGTGCTTCTACATTTTGGCCGAGACAAAGGGATGAAACTAACATGTGGTTTTTATCCTTTATAAGAGGTGGCCTGTCAGTAGGTTCTGCAAATTTATGTTTGTTTGGTTTGCGATAGAGCACATAGGAAACTTAGGGTGAACTGGTAGAGTGCTTTGGAATTCATGACATTGAAATTTCATTATGTTAAACATAAACTAAAATTAATGGTGTTATGGGGTGTGATTATGAATGATTCCATTTTTTAGGGATTTGTTTCACGTATCACCCAATTTGAAAAAAGAAAGTTAAGAATTTATTCCTAAATTGTATCTTGAAAATCATGGAAATTATTTTTATAAAACTCTACACTTTATTTTAAGTATTTTGATGAATAGAAGTATATATTAATTTGCAATTAATGAATGTTATTTAATTAATGTATATTTAAATAAAAATTCTCAATGCTCTATTGATTACTGTAGCAATCTATAATATGTTATTGTAGCAAATTGCTGGAGCATTGAATCCACTAATTGTGGCATCAATGGTTAATAAGGGTAGAAGGAATATTAAAGAATGTGATGAGTTTAAAAGTTAATTTATCTTAATAATTTAAGCCACCATTCCTTTATTTTTATATTGCTCTTCGGTTCTGTGAAATAAAGAGTAGTAGCAGCCATGCAGAAGAAATGGAGAGGAATTAGAATAAATAAAGAAGAAAAATGGAGAATGAAGAG